TGGCACAGAAGAGTAGAGATAAGAACAAAATGCGGTCTTTAATACATAATTTAACAGGTTTTGTGAAAATGTTACAATTTTTGCTTAAATGGCCTTCTCCAATATTTCTCTGGCATTAGATGATTCTTGGTCAAGTTTTAGATTTGGGCCTGGCTGGTGTGGCTCAGCGGTTGAGCATGGACCCAGGAAACAGGAGGATTCCTGGTCAGGGCACATGCCTGAGGTATGGCTTGATCTCCAGTAGGGGGCGTGCAGGAGGTAGCCTACTGATGTTCTCTCCTTGATGTTTCTATATCTCTCTCCCTCCCCTTCCCCTCTCTCTAAAAAATCAATAAAAAATTTTTAAAAATTTAGATTTGGGGCCCATTTATTATAAAAGGAGTCTATGCTTTCTCCACTGCATTTGTATCACATTCCAAAAAACAAAGGGGGTGCCATTCTTTGGAGCAGCACCTGCTGCACAGGCTGTTGCCTCAGGTGCAGGCGTTCACGTGATCACAGGTTTTCCCACCCTCCACTGTGCGCTCCAAGGGCAACTTTAAACCCCTATGTTAGACTTCTTGATTGTGTTGAATTCCTTGGTGTATTAAAAAGCGTTTCTTAAACCTCCACTTTATTTACAATACAATATATTTTTGTAACCTAAAAAGCTCCAGACTCCAGTTGTGTTTGAGAGAGAAGAGCTTCAATTTCCTCAAAGATCTTAAAACAAATTTTTAATATATATTTTTATTGATTTCAGAGAGAAAGTGAGAGGGAGAGAGAGAGAGAGAAACATCAGTGATGAAAGAGAATCATTGATCGCCTGCCTTCTGTATGCCCCACACTGGGGATTGTGCCTGCAACCCCAGCATGTATCCTTGACCATAATCGAACCCGGGACCCATCAGTCCACAGGCCAATGCTCTATCCACTAAGCCAAAATGGCCAGAGCTAAAATAAAAATTTTAATAAATTGATTTTTTTTAAATGATATGGGGTTGCCAGGACCATTCAATAGGGCTCAAAGATCTTAAAACAAATTTTTAATACATATTTTTATTGATTTTAGAGAGGAAGTGAGAGGGAGAGAGAGATAGAAACATCAGTGATGAAAGAGAATCATTGATCGGCTGCCTTCTGCATGCCCCACACTGGGGATCGAGCCTGCAACCCCAGCATGTATCCTTGACCATAATTGAACCCGCGACCCATCAGTCCACAGGCCAATGCTCCATCCACTAAGCCAAAATGGCCAGAGCTAAAATAAAAATGTTAATAAATTAATCTTTTAAAAATGATATGGGGTTGCCAGGACCATTCAATAGGGAAAGGGTGGCCTTTTCAACAAATGTTGATATTAGATATCCACATACAGAAGAATGAAGTTGTAACCTTACTTTATACCATGTGCAAATTATTAACACAAAATGCATCAGAGACCCAAATGTAAGAGCTAAAACTACAAAACTTTAGATGAGGACACAAAGGAAGAGGCTTACTGGATATTGATATTGGACATAGTAATATCTTTTTGATATGACATCAAGCAACTAAAGAAAAAATAGACAAATCAAACTTCATTGAAATTAAAAAACATTGCCCTCTAGCCGGTTTGGCTCAGTGGATAGAGCGTCAGCCTGTGGACTGAAGGATCCCAGGTTCAATTCCGGTCAAGGGCATGTACCTTGGTTGAGGGCACATCCCCAGTAGGGGGTGTGCAGGAGGCAGTTGATCAATGTTTCTCTCTCATCGATGTTTCTAACTCTCTATCCCTCTTCCTTCTTCTCTGTAAAAAATCAATAAAATATATTTTTTAAAAAAGAAATTAAAAAACATTTGTGCATTAGAAGACATTACCAATACAATGAAAAGGCAACTCACAGAATTTGAGAAAATGTTTGCAAATCATATCAGATTGCAACCCCGTGCAATGCTGGTAGAAATGTAAAATGGTGCCGCCTCTGAGGAAAACATAGAAAAAGATTAAACACGGAATTATCATATCTAGCAATTCTATTTTTTAATATGTACATACACACAGAATTGTAAACAGGACCTCAAACATTTGTACTACACCGTCAACTGCAGCAGCATTATTCAAAACAGTAAAATGTGGACATAACTCACATGTCTATTCAGGCATGAATTTTTGTTTCTCTAAACTAAACATGGTACATTCATACCATGGAATTCACCTTTAAAAAAAGAAAATTCTGACACATGCTACACCATGGATGAACTTTGAAAATATTACATTAAATGAAATAGCAAGGCACAAAAGGACAAATATTACGTAATCCCACTTGTATGAGGTACCCAGTGTGAAGGGGAAAAAAGAGGGTGATCTGATCATAAATCCCTCACTGTGCAGATCAAGGTGGGTAGTCATGCCTGAGGCCTATAATTTCTTTGGTGAAAGGTTTTAAGCCCACCCTGTGCATTGTTCTTGTGTACCTAGGTTACACACCTTTGAAATGCCAGAAGCAATACCTCTCGAAGGGGGTATTAACCCTCAAGAGAGCACAAAATCTTAACTGTCCTGTAATCCTATCCCTGCCAGTGCACCCTAGGGCTGTGGGATCCATTTCTGGTCAGGGTACATACCCAGGTTGTGGGTTCCATCCCCAGTCCAGGCGTGTATGGGAGGCAACCGATAGATGTTTCTCGCATTGATGTTTCCTGTTTCTCAAATCAATAAAAATATGTCCTCAGGTGAGGATTAAAAACAACAACTGCAAAACTGTTACTCTCTGGAGCATTTCAGATCTTGCTGCGTGGCATACGTTGTCAGTTTGCTTCAAATAAACTCAGGGAAGTTCTCTACAGTTTTGGACGTTCCTTTTGTCGATACTAGAGTACAGTAGTCATATTTATAGAGACAGGAAGTCGAATGTTGGTTGCCAGGGGCTTGGGGAGGGAGGAATGCAGAGTTATTGTTCAATGAGTATAGAGTTTCAGTTTGGGAAGTGGAAAACTTCTGAACATGGACAGTGGTGATGGCTGGACAACAATATGAATGAACTTAATGCCACTAAACTCTACACTTAAAAATAGTTAAAATAGATATTTTGTTACATACATATCATCACAGTAAAAAAAGATTATGCACCTGATTGTGCTTTTAGGTTTATCAATTTAATGCTAAATAGAAATTAGTTTACAAATTCACATGGACCTTGACTCCATCTTTATCAAAAGAATTTAAAACATGCATAGAAAAAGGTGATGTGGAAAGGAACATGAGGTAATGATATATATATTTGTTGTTGTTAATCCTCTCCTGGGATATTTTTCCATTGATTTTTAGAGAGTGGAAGGGAAGGGGAGAGACACAGAGAGAGATAAACATTGACGTGAGAGAGACACATCAATTGGTTGCCTCCCATATGTGCCCTGGGCAAGGACTGGGGATCAAGCCTGCAACTGAGGTACATGCTCTTGACCGTAATCCAACCTGGAACCCTTCAGTTTGAGGGCAAACCGGCAAGGGCAAGGATGTATATATATTTTTTAAATATATTTTATTGATTTTTTACAAAGAGGAAAGGAGAGGGATAGAGAGTAAGAAACATCGATGAGAGAGAAATATCGATCAGCTGC